AATCGGGCCGAATCTCCTTCGAATTGAATCACCAGCTGAAGCTTTACACAGCCCTAATGATAACCTAAATCGCAGTCTCTGTTCTTAAAAGCAGAAGACAACAAATCAAATCCTGTGATATCTATTGTATTAACTTACTTGAATAACTCTGGTTCAGGTACACTTTTGACCTGTTTGAGTTCACTTTTATTTTCAGACATTGTTCCTGGGGGGGTGGGGGTGTTACTAGACTTTACTGTCATATGTGGGAAGGAACACAAGTATTGTCACACAATTATGGCCAACCACTCCTAATCACATATGCACTGACATTGGTATGTCTTGTATACCGCAATGCTTGGTTGGATGTTTCTGTGCCAATGTCATCCCTGGTGTAAATAAGTCTATGCAGATGCATTAGGAAATGAATTTCATCTTTAGCACCTAGCTTAACCTTTAAAGAGCTATGCATGCTGCAGGAATCCCTTTTTCACGTGCCTCTTTACCCCATATACTGTCCACAAAGCTCTTGCCATCTCATGCTGTTTCTCCTGGATTTCTCAATTCCACATTACTGAGCAGTTCTGTGACTTTCTTATGTCTGTATTGAGTGGGGGGTTTTCTATGAAGCTTTAGGTATAGTTATACACTTGAGTGAAAAAAAACCAAAGAAACAAAATGAATTTACTTTTTCAGGAAAGTTGTAGATAAAGTAAGTAGCAAAGAAACCACAGGCAGAGAGAGAGGGAGAGAAAAGTAAGAAAAACTCCTGAAGCGTCACCAGCTCCTCAGTGGTCCACCACTGATCACCCGTATCAGTCATACACCGCATGTTCCAACAAGTCCTTCTCTTTCTATCTCTGTCACTACTCCGACTTACAATTGTTTGGGAAAATTGGCAATAAGATTAATGTGTTGACCATTTTTTGAGTCCCAGAGTCAAAGCAATAGAAAACAAACTCTGCTCTAACATCTAATAGGCAGCTGTATCCCTGTTACAGAAATCCCTCTCTTTGATTTAGACTTCTAGAGATGGCTTGCAATTTTCCACCGACTCCATATGGGATGGGAAAACAGTTTGAAAGATTCATCACTAGGGATGCCGACTATAGACCTGTTCTTTAGACTATCAACACAGGAAAGGTTTCCATTTATGAGATAACAACGTGCAATAACTATATATCAAGCTATTATCTCAAAAAGGATCCTGCCTTTGAATATTTCTTATTGGCAGGTATCTTCCCCCCCCCCCATAAATGTTTTAAACTGACCTGTTATGAGTTGCATAGAGTTTGCGTGTGTGTTGTAAGTTTAGCAAAAACTTCATCTTTCATCAAAGCATCATGCTATGTGGCAATTGTCCCACTGGGCCCCTCATTTTAGCAAGATCCTACCAAGCGATGTCTACTTGTTCACTCATTGCGATGTTTTTGTTTTCCTTTATGAAGCTTTGTTTAAGACTTCCACCTCAAATCCTTTTAAAAGGCCTCTTAAAAGCTCTTGGTTTTCCATTATCTATCTATCTTGCTTAGCAGCTGCAGACATGTATTGTATAGCTTGTCCCATTTCCAGAGTAGAAAAATAGATAAGATCCTCTGTGCGCTTGAGGTATAATAAAGACTTCTATCACAAAGAATAAACAACTCAATGAGCAGCAATAAACTTAATTTGCACATTAGATATGCTTTTCCAAGTTCTGACATTTCAGTTGAAAATAATGCTGAAGCAATGAGGCCTATAATTGAACAGCCAAAACTTCTCCAGAGGGGAAACAAAAACAAATGTTCCCTGCAAACAGGATCATTTTTATACTGTGTTGTTACTCAGTTTTTTAATAAATTTTGTAAATGCCAAATGAAATAATTTTGGGGGGTGTTTTTAATGTGATCTTCACATACTGCTCCATTAGGATGTATACATGTTAAACTGTATATGGGTGTCCTGAAGTGAGAGCTGCCTGAACACTAAACTACTTATTTTATTCACCGCTAGCTGTGTTGTAACTTTTTCTCAAATTATACATTGCATTGCATTGGCGCTAATTGAACCTTCATAATATGGACGTGAAAACTGCTTTAGCCAGTTAGGTTAAGAGGGAAAGTCAAGCCTGCAGGATAGAAAAGAAATTATTGGGAAGTTATCTAAAATTGAGTTAAAATTATGTGGGTAATCTTTTACTTTTATAACGACTCCCCTCACTGAGATAACCCTGATATTAGTGTGTGTGTGTTTTGGGGAGGTTTTTTGCATAACACTGGGTGTGTCTCCACGTTCATTAATATGCCGCAGTTTCTGCACATTAAGTTTAGTACTTGCATAACCAAACACTAAATCAACATGCAGTAACTTGCACCAGTGCATAGTAGCGCTGGCACATGGTTTTTAGTGATGCTAACTGTGCAGTAGCCTAATACTACTGTGCAGTAGCGTATTAGCACAGTTTTCGCCCTACACGCTACTGCACAGTAGAATTAGACTACTGTGCAGCTATCTGCTCGTATAGACGTGCCTACTGATAAAGAAGTTACCTTCTTGTCAACCTTTTCAACTTTACCATTGGATGTTAAATGTTAGGTATGTGCATGAGAAATCATTTATGTTAAGATTTGCAATCACAATCAGATAGCAGGATAGAGGGAAAGTCCTGAACTTGTTACGCTTTCCTCTGTGCTGACTCTAAGATTTGTGTAATGACTCATCCCACCCACTCATCAGTAGAGACAGAACCCAAAAATCTTTTTGGCAACAAAGTGCAAGTGCTCGGTATTGAGGTGAGGGAATGTCTTCATTATCTGGTAGCAGTAATATGTTCTTACTCTTTACATGGACTAGCCATGAGATGGCAAACTGGCAGAGGAAACACACTTATACTTTGTGTCGGCATTTCAGCCATCGGAGTAGTTATGCTAGCACCACGTCTAATGCAGACATCATTTAGACTGGTTTGGTGCACTTTGCCTGTGTTTTAAAGAAAGGTAATATTACCTAAGGCAAGAGTAAAATGTACCCCTATAAATCACACTCAACTGATGTATAGTGCATGTGCATTCAGAGTTGGCATCTTAGCATACCCTTTTTACAATGAAAAAAATGCATATTCATACACATCGTGGTACACAGGGCACCCCAGATCACTACTATGAACTCAGAGATGTTAAAGTTGACAATCACAGGTGGAGATATCATGCTATGGTCTCATCGTCACCTGCACATTTTTAGCTGCTCATGGAGAGTGAAATTCCTTTTTATGCTGAGGGCTAGTGTTGAATGTCAGTCACCTTAATGTAAAGCATTATTCTTGAACTCTTGGGTTTATCACCCACTGACCTGAGGATTCTGTAGAATCTGGATACTTAAAAATAGTGGGGCACAGTGGCACCTTAGAGACTAACTGAGGGCATGGACTTTTGTAGGCAACCGCCTGCTTCATCACAGCATAATAGAATCCAGTGAAGCAGGTTGTTGCTTGCAAAAGCTCAGGTCTCTCTGAAACAATTAGTCTGAAAGGTGTCATCCAGCCCTGCCTTCTTCCCGTTTTCAGACTAATATGGCAAACCAGCTCTGAATTCAGTGCGTGGATGATTTTGGGGATGGGTAGACTGAAAATATCCCCTTGTTCATGAGGGATTTAAAAAAAAATGAGTAGCTCATATGGGCACCAGAAAGTAATATTTTGGTTCAATTTCCCAAAAACTGTATTCGTATCAGTAGGGATATAGTTTTCACATATTAACTCAGTAGTTGCATTTTGACACATCCCATCAAGTTATATCACTCTTTCTCTTCAGATCAGACTTGTCATAATGTAACCTGCCTCTGACAAGTTCATAATGATGTCTCACAAAGTGACATCAAGTCGATTTTTTTTTCTTTCTGAGAAGAGGATTAAAAGTTTAACTAATATGCAGGGTGTTTTTCCAGGGGGAGGAGAGGAGAGGCGATAACAGGAAAAGTAAAATGACTTGCTTAGCAATGCAAACATTTCTAGCTAGTTAGCAGCTCAGATTATTCCCCTGAGAATTACATATTTTTAGCTGTTGGGTGGGCTGTGAAATGACATGCATGAATTTGCAGGCTTAGGTGTTAAGCTTCAAGAAAAGTAGAACTTCTGCGATTCCACAACTGCTCCTTTTGTTCCTTGGGAAAGTATGTAGGGGAGTATTTAAGAATATGAAGAATTGGAAACGGTAGGAATGGCTAAGACAATTCCCTTGTCATCTCCCTGTAGCTTCAGTGGGATACATCAAGTGGGACGGAGGAACAGGTTTTTTTAGTGGTTTTCTCATTTACTAGAATACAATTTTCATTCAGCTTCAAAATTTCCATCCTTTTGAGGAAGATACAATACCTTTTTTTGAACTAAGGTCCAGTATACATTGTAAGTATTTATTGGAGAACAGAAAGGCTCACAGCCACGGAGTTTAAGTCTTATTTCCTGTTCTAGACAAAGATTGTGAGCTCTTGGGGTTTCTGTGTTTAAACGGTGCCTAGCAGAATGGCATTACGAGACTTCTGAGTGTTTTTAATACAAAGAATAGATGATGATGATGATGATGATTCCTGTTGTATATTGGAAGGGAGGTCTTGATTTCTTGCCAAATTTCTGCTCCTCTAGCTCTTAGAAAACTGATTTAATAATACTGCTGATACCCAGTGCACTGTCATAAATGACCAAGGTTTTGTGGGAAGTATTATCTTCTAAAAATACTACCAAATAGTCACTACTTGTGGATAAGTCAGGCATTTCTTTTTTAGTTGCTGTCTACATCTGTTCCAGCATACGATTTTAGTTTAAACCTTGTATCATAGCTGTAATAGTATGATCTTTGTTTCATCAAATATACATGTACATTTCCAATATTCATAATGCACAAATGAAGACAATAAAATACCTTTCACAATCAGGTTCCCTGAGTTCCTGGCAATTCCAAATTGATTTGTTGCTATACAAGTATATACTCCTGCATCTGATTTGGTTATGTTATATATCTTCAGACTTCCATCTGCTGGCATAGTGATCCTGGGGAAAAAAAAAAAAAGAAGTATATTGGCTGTACAGGATGCTGTTCTGACTTCTTTTCCAAGAACTGTAATAAGAACACAATACGCACCTTTTAATATTTAAATACATTAGGTATGTATATGCTTTCCTATGACAAGCTGATCAACTAATTTTCACACCGGTTTTATTAATGATCTCTGTATTAGGAGCATAACTTGGACGTAACTGGAATTGACCACCAATCCATCTAGTCCACTTCCCCATGTCCTTTTGTGGTCAGTTTCAGATGCTTCAGAAGAAGAAATAACATCCCAATAATGCCCCAAATAGTATTATATTATATCATGGGCATTGTTTTTCCTGACCCAGATGGTAAGCAATGCATAATGTGAGATATGAGGACAGACAGCCTATGTAATTTTGTCAGTTTTATTAAAAGTTATTAATAACTTTTATAACGACTCCCCTCACTGATATAACCCTGATATTAGTGTGTGTGTGTGTGTGTGTGTGTGTGTGTGTTTTGGGGAGGTTTTTTGCATAACGCTGGGTGTGTCTCCACATTCATTAATATGCTGCAGTTACTGCACATTAAGTTTAGTACTAGATAAGACCCTGCAACACCATCTCACAAGCAATCAGAACTACATAAAATGGTCAGCTTTCTCATTTTGCCCTAAGAAATTGCCCTGTTAGTCTAGGGATACACACAAACCAGTATAAGTGATCAGAAACCAGTTCAAATCTGTAACACAACAGAAGTTTAGTGTATATAACCCACTTGCAAAATGGTCCAAACTGGTTTAAGATGAACCTGTTTTCAGTTAAATCAGTTTATTGAACTTCTGTCCCAGATCCCCTCCAGATTCAAGTTAACTCGCAGTCCCCCAGCATCCCAGGATGCTTTCTGCCTCCCCTGCAAGCCCCTCCTCTTAGGGTGGGTGGGCTAGCCTTGGCCCAAGCTGTCTGCTCCAGCCCAGCAGGGAGGTATTAGTCCCTGCTCCCCCGCCTCTTCCCCCACCCTTCAGCTTCTGGCCCAGGCCACTGCAGGCACATGGATGTATTTCCAGAATCAAAAGTGAACATCTATACACTTGCTTATCAGTTCAGTCTACACAGCTTAGACCTGCAAAGATTGAATCGATTCAGCCTTGGGCTTTTTGACTGTTTGTACATAGTCTTAGTGGCTATGGTTTGGCTTGTTTTATTATGCACTGACTTTGGGGGTACTGCCTTGATTATACTTAGAAATATTTTGAGACCAACAAAGAAAATGGAAAGGTTTGTGGCTGTAGATGGAGAAATATACACCAGAAAAAAAGCAATGAAAGTGCATAAGAAATTCTCGAGCAATATGAAACACCAGTTTGGGATTTTATGGACCAAATTCTGCACTGATTTATGCCCATTCAGGTCAGTGTAGTTTTTCAGGGTGTAAATCAGCAGATGGTTTAACCTGAGCTTTTGCTACTGAAATTTTGAGACCTTAAGCAATGACTTTTACACTGTGTTGCTTCCTTAATTATGAATACCAAGAGAGATTCTCATAAATGCACGTGAAATATGAAAGTCCTCTGAAAGTGGCAATACTAACATCAGCAGTGAGTTTATGACTACCACAAACACTTCAAATAAAATATGAGGAGAATTTTTTGTTGTTTTTTTTAATCCTTGATTTAATTGGCTTTTAAATCTAATAAAAAGTCCTTTTATATTAGAAAAATATCCAAGTCATGCTTCACAGCCTGAGTATTCAATATTTATTACTTACAACATAAATTTAGATGATGAAATAAATTATTAAAGCAAATGAGCAATAACTAGAGCACAAGTGGAAGTTGAGGGCAATATCACATCCATTAAACATATACAAAACATTACACTATCTTGTTGTATTCCAACCTTGTATTTATAGTCTTGCATTTCCATGCATAATACACAATAGGCCATGTTTCACTCTCCGTCACACGACTGCAGTTCTCATCTGCTCATGTACTTGAGAGAAGATCTATGTAACTGAACACAGAACCTGGCCCCAATTGTGCTGAAATGGAAATAATAATCCATCTTGCAGCACAGCCATGCAGCAAAGTGCAAAAGCAAACTCTGACTTGAGTGAAGCCAGACACCCAATTTGGGGATAATTATCGCAGGCTGTGTTCAGCTAACTGTCAAATGAAAGGGAGCTCTTACACCTGTGTTTAGTGTGCAGCATGATCAGGTGTCAGGAGGGAAGCTAGCCTTTGCAGGGGGTGCTTGAGAGGGTTTTTTTCCATTTGCTTCTATTGCTGAATCAGAAAGAGAATTGTGTATGCCTCAGAGCTGATTAAATTCACTGTCATTTCCACCAGGTGTAGTTCATGGTGCTTATTCTCCCTGTTCAGTTCCCAAAACATGAAGAGTTTGGAAGGGGAGAGGGCTGTTTGGCTATGTTCCCTTGTCATAGATCTCACATGACTTGGAGACTTTAAAAAACTTCGGCTGTAAATGGATCGTTCGCTAAGCAAAGTATCGGAGTACAATGTCCCTCCACAAACAAGGGAAATGCAATGAAGACATTAAGATGATTTGAGCAAGGATGCTATAGTGACAGAATCTGTGCCCTTTCTATGGCATGGGGCTATGCTGAAAGCTGGCCTAGGCCATAGGGAGGAGCGAAGGGAAAAGAAATATATCCCAAATTCTGTGAATGGGAATACATTCTTGACCACCAGTAAACAGAGAATATTTTCAACTAGTAGCATTGCTTTGAGAATTGTTCCAGTACGTTTTGGGAATTTGCCTTGTTACTCAATACACATTTTAAACTTAGATAGTAGTTTTGACTCTCCTTAATCTGAAGTATTTGACAGATGTGATGCCTGCTAAAAGCATTATGGGCTTCCTCAACAACACTGCCAGGTGTTTGAATGTCTCAGCTTACATGCTAAGCCCAGGGACACCACTCCAATTTCACCTTTTATGCACCCCTCAGATCCTACCTCACTTGAAGGGTTGCTCCTTGAGAGGGAAAACCGTTAGCTAACTCCGAGTCTGTAGTCCCCGTGCAGAGTGGAGCTGCAGTGGGGGCACTTCTGTGCTGCTACATGGTACACTTTGAAGAAGGAGCAAAGAAAGGATAGCAGTGTTATCCACTGAGCTCTGCTGTGCGAGAATATAGCAGCATCTGGGGCAACCAATTATAATAGCTGCCACAGCGTGGCTGTACTGCTGTTCTGAATTATCCAGAAAGAAACTTTTGTCCCCAGGCTTTGGAGAGAGAGAGAGGAAGGAAACTGGCCTTCAGTGAATACTCTTGTTACCTTGATGATGATGGTGCAGCTTTTGCATGCAAACAATTAATGCTAGGCTAAGCAAATGAGTTTGGATTTAACAGTCGTTCCATCAGATATCCACATATCAAACTGGAGCTGGCAAAATATGAAACTAGGAGCTGGAATTATGGATCTAGCTGACATTTTCAGAGAAGAGCGACTGCACACACAAGAAGGAACTGGCACCTTTTTAATTGACATTATTAAGCCGTACATCAAAATAGGACAAAATGGTCTCATTTTCACTCTCCCTTGGGAGAAATACCTGCTGCTAGTGTCTGGAGGATGGATTTAAGTAAATGTGAACATAGGGCATTAGCAAAATCTTTCATTTCCTCTTCTGCCAGCATATGAGGCATTCAAAATGAGTGCCACAGCTGCAGATAAGCATTGCCATTAAAAATTCCTGGTGATAAAATAGTCGATTCAGCTGATTAATTAGCAAAATATGTGCAGATATAGAGGCTGTACAGTCAGTGTTAAAGGGATATTTCAGCTGTGGATTAGCATATGTTCACTCACAGTATGCTTGAGTTAAAATTCTGAGTGAGCCATCAAATATCATGTATGTATTATTTGTAGTGCAGGAGCTTGTAGAAGCTCCAGCCATCGATCAGGATGCCATTGGGTTAGGTGGTATGCAAATACAGAACAAAAACACAATCCCTATTCCTAAGAGCTACAGTCTAAGCAAACAGAGCTCTAAAGAAATGCTCTATCCAAAGAAAGATTAATCACTCGGCTGTGTGTAGGGTTGGATCTTTGAGTGTGCCACAGTTATGTTTAGCACTGTCTATATCAGGGATTGGGAATATAAAAGTTGCTTTACATTATTTCGAATGTAGGTCAGCAGGTGGATAGTTTAATTCTCAAATGTAATTTGTAGCAAACTTTGGGGTAGTTTAAAGCGAGTTTAAAATAGATACTAGAGGCCGTGGAGAATTTTGTGAACATGCTTGCAATGCTGGGACATAGGTGATGTATTGTAGACAGAGCTATGCCATCCCCATGCCAAAGGCGTTCCATTATTTACAGCAATTTTAAGTCTCCTTTGTGCTGCTAGAATGGCATAAAAAGATCTTAGAAGGCCCCATTGAATGTACTGATGCTTATTCAATACAGATTCTATTCATACACAAATAAAGACATATTCTAGATACAGAGAAGGTTGTGAAACAATCTTCAGCATCCCGCTGCATGAATTGCAATGAAAGCATGTGACAATGGGCACGTTCCAGGGGGAGACCAGAAGGTGTAAGATTGTTCAGTGCCCCGTTCTACCAAGCCGAACAGAGTTTGAAACTCACCCTAATTTGGAAATTAATCCTGCTCTGAGAGAGATTCCTGAAATGGCTCGTTCCCTGAACCTCTGCTGGGCAAATTTCTAATGTTCTGATGAATCAAGTGGAGTTGAGCACCAATGATTAAGAAATATTATTCGTAGTCTCTTGGCTGCACAGATGCTTATCCATTCAGATTGCATAATGCCCATTCAGCTATTGGGCAAATAATCACTGGCCTACAGTCATACAGTTGTAGTTAAATGATCAGCCATCTTAAAACTGGAAATGCTCTCTCTTGACTGATTCAACTCTTTGCTGGTAAAGAGAAACCGTAACATGAGAAGTTTTAGAGTTGTTTTCAGAATCAGGATTCAAAATGCTTAAAACTTAGGAAGCTGTCTCACCCTACAAACAGGGCATG